GACACTTGGCTACCTGCATTACTAGCCACCCGGCTAGTGATTTCTAAAAATTTATTAGCCCGAAACACAACTTGGTAGCCCAGATGAATTTCCCTCGAGGTCCACTTCAACTCAAAACACACAACCCTTCCTCTAAACTTATTGGCAAGGTCTTTTAAAATGATAAAGAATAGTACAAATGCTTTAAGTGCGAGGTGATCGTGCGAGGCAATGTGCAAGGCATTACAACATTGGTAAGCGCAGAGTCTGGGATCTAGCCATATTTACGATCAACACGTAAGACAAGAAAAAGACGCCAGTAGATAAAAGGCTTATGCCTTCTTTATTGGCAAGATCTTTCAAAATGATAAAGAATAGTACAAATGCTTTAAGTGCAAGGCGATGTGCAAGGCATCGCAACATTGGTAAGCCAAGAGTCTGGAATCTAGCAATATTTACGATCTACACACAAGACAAAAAAAAGATGCCAGTAGATGAAAGGCTTATGCCTTCTTTATTGGTATTATCCTTAAAATTTGAACTTTGTTGTTTTTTTTTTTAATCAACTGTGAACTTCTAGTAAACTAATTATAAATAATTTCTTTCAAGTTTTCTACTAGCCAGCGGGCTATTAAACGTGTTTTTTTTACTAGCCTCGGGCTACCGGGCTAGCGGAGATGTTGAACCCTGCATGAGAAAGAACCAGGTGGATACAATGGATGTCTCACTACCAGCCCATAGAGGAGACCTGCTCAAACTGACCAATAATAAGCTCTATTGACAAGTGTCAGCATGAATGCCACAAACTTCTCAAAACATAACCCTCTGCCATCCCTAAGGAGAACAAACATCTGTCATCTGCTCTGAGAGTAGTGAAGACAGAAACCAACCACCAGTGCTGAGGCCAACATATTTTGCAATTTTACCATAAGTAAGAGATCTTTCCTAGTAACATTAAAACTGGAGAAGGAGACCATGCTACTATTGCAAGTACTATGTTGTTGACCCTACTAAAGAAGATGATGCCATTCACAGGATTCCCTGTGAATGCGATGAGGTTTATGTTGACAAGACTGGAAGACTAACATAAGAGAGAATCAAGGAGCGTAACAGAAACAACTGACTTAAATGCGACTTCTACTGTTTCAGAGTATGCTCACAAAACAGGTCACTGCCTGCCAGGATTCCTACCCTTTTTTAACATATAGTGCGCATTATAGGTTTTGTTTTTCCTTCTTTTTTCCTTATTACTTTGTAACAGCGTAATAGTTTTTTACTTTCTTCTTTTGTTTGATGACTTCCTTATATTCTCCTTTCCCTCAACGTCCTTGTTTTATCCTTTCTTCGTTTTTTACCGGCAAAATTTCGGATAGTAGAAAAGTACCCATAACGTAAGAACGAAAAATTTCCACGACCAAAGAAGTTTCCTGTAATAATGGAATAACTAAAACTTTCGGCAAGTATAAAGTACCCGTAATAACCAAAAATCTACACGAGCGGTGGAAAATTTGCCCGTAATAACGTAATATGAAAAGTTTCCACAACTGAACTAGTTGCCTATAGTAATGTAATAACGAAAACTTTCGGCGGGTACAAAAGTACCTGTAATGATGTAATAACCTACAATCTACGCGATGGGTTCGAAAATTTGCCCGTAATAACGTCATACGAAATATTTCCACAACTAAAGAAGTTGCCTGTAAGAATATAATAACGAAAACTTTCAGCGAGTATAAAAGTACCCGTAATAACGTAATAACCAAAAATCTACGTGAGGGGAGGAAAATTTGCCCGTAATAACGAAAAATTTCCATGTCCAAAGAAGTTGCCTGCAATAATATAATAACGAAAACTTTCAGTGAGTAGAAAATTCCCATAATAACGAAAAATCTACGCTAGGGGGGAAGATTTGGTTAATTAAAGGTGGAGCAGAGAAAATTATCGCAACAACATAATAACTTGGAAAGTACCCGGCCGTAATAACGAAAAATCTACATCAGGGGAGAAGGCTTTTTTTAATGAAAGATTTTCACGAACAGAGAAAATTGTCATAACATAATAACAAACAAAATACAACTACTGGGACATATTGCACAATGCAAGTAATAATACACACATGCTCAACAATATTTCCTTTAAAAGCATCCGATTTAATGCTGTGGCTATATAGCAAGTTTTTCAAAATACTAAATGGCCGGCATGCCGGTATTTTCAATAAATGTCACCAATCAAATAATTCCAAGTAAACCAAAGGATCATACATGTCGAATGAGAAGAATCAAGTGATCCTTCAATGCTTTGCTACTTTTGTATCCTCTGTATTGAAACATCAGGCTATTTTTTTCAATTTTAGGCCATCGAACCATCAACTACAATGCTTCCAGCCCCGACCTAAAAGTAGCTGTATAATGCAATGTCAACCTTTTCTGGGAATATAGAAATGATCATTGCGTCAGAGTAAAAATGCAATCCAGGAAAGTTGAACCCAGACTTAATCTACCTTATTACATGCTGTTGGTGAAAGCATGTAATAAGGTAGATAAAATTTGACCAATCCGGTTGGACAGAACTGGTTGAAATTCTCTGTTTTGCACGCGGACCATTACAACACGTTTTCTGAGTCCGTATATAAAACTTTTCTGCCCACAGTGATCACTTAAAAGGTTTCTGGAGACAGAGGGCTGGAAAGGACGGCAGTCGTATGCTCTAAATGAGGAAATTTCACGGCCTCAATGGGGAAACGCAGCCCTTAGAAGCAGTGCAGAATGCTATATAGGCTGCAAAGACGTTGATAACTATTTCGTATGAAGAACATTTTCATAAATTGAATCAGCCATGGAAAATAAATAAGAAAGTTTGCTTCCAAGGTTTTGAGCGAGTCATCAACTTAAACAGAGTCATCTACAGCAATTGCTACTGCAGGATAGTCCAAAGTGTCTCTCGGGAAGCAAGAACTTACTGGGAGCAAAATGAAGCAGCAATGTTTCCAAAAAGACACCTAAATTGATGCATGTCCGGTTCTGTTGAAGTGTCAAAGCTGTAACCAATGTAAACAATGACCTTCTTCAAATTGCCGAGTGGTCCTCTAATAATTATCTTTAAGTGAACCCAAGTAAAACAAGAATGCTGATGTTTGGGACGAGACAAATGCGCTTAAAGTTAGGCCACTTTTCGCTAAACTTCATAGGAAAGGAACTCTTCCCTATCAACAGTGTTAAAGACTTGGGCGTATTTTTATACTCTAATTTGATCTTTGACGAACACGTAACCAAAACTGCATCTTCCTGTAGGCATAGACTCAGTCAGGTTAATCATACCACACATATTTTTAAAAAACATAATCCTCTTCTTACGATTAATAACTCTTAAGTTTTTAGCAAATTGTTATATTGATGAAGTGTATGAGTACCTCCAAGGGCAACATAACGAAATTACAAAGCATACGAAACTTCGCCTGTCGCATTTTTGTGGTGTGTGTAAATATGACCACGTTAAGCCTCAACTGGCTCCCAGTGGCAGATAGAATATCTTTGCGACGCCAAAATGATTTTTAGATGTTTGACAGGACGAGCCCCAAAACCCCTCTCCTCCCGCTTTATCAAGAGCGAGGAGGTTAGCATTCGTAAGACCAGACACTGGCAAATGTTGCATATTCCCCCTTTTAAAACTAGTAGTGGTAAAAGGAATTTTTATTTTAGATCAGAGGATATTTGGAATCCACACACGTTCTTAAACATCGCCTAAGTAATAACATATGTGAAAAGCCCCATTGGGAAAAATCAATAATGTATGTAGGTATGTATGTATGTATGTAAACTTTGGAGAGGTGATTATTCAAACCCGTAAAGCCTGTAAGTTTGTTTACCCTTAAAGTCTTGTGTAAGGTTCTGTTTTGGTCAAATAACTAACAGGAACAGGTGTCTCAATTTCCCAGAGTTGCCTACTGAAGTTGAGGCACGATTCCCTTCTCCATATTAAACCCGGTAACAGGCAATAGAAGCAAAGAAGGATACATACCATGTCGTGAAACGTAACTATTAGTGTTGGCAGTCTTCATTATTTGCTGCTCTAACTGAAGAAGTACAGTAGTCTTATTTTCTAGGACTTGCAAAATTTGCCCTCACTTGTTGCCCGGGCCAAAATTAATTAGTGGTAAAATCTTGAGAAATGCAAGTTATGTACATAAAATTATTAGCTTATGTGAACCAGCAATGAAATGCGGACTACAAACAAGTTTAGGAAACCTCTAATAACCGCTACTACATCTGTAAGGGGGGTGACTCTTACGGCATGGTTTCTTACGTCACCACGGCTGCCTTGAGAAAAATCATTCACCAATCACCTTACATCTTCGCTGTTTTGCGAAAAAGAGTTGGCCCTCACGTTATTACTTTATTATGGCTGATATCTTGGCTGTCTTGAGGAAAAGGGTTCCACCATTACGTTATTAAGGCTAATACCTTCGCTTCCTTGTGAAAAAAGGTTTGGCCATTACGTTATTACAGCTGATACCTTCGCTTTCTTGCCAAAAAAGGTTCGGCCATTACCTTATTATGGTATTACAGCTGATATATTCGCTGTCTTGCGAAAAAGGGTTCATTCCATTACGTTATTATGGCTGATACTTTCCCTTTCTTGCCAAAAAAGGTTCGGCCATTACCTTATTACGGTATTACGGCTGATATATTCGTTGTCTTGCGAAAAAGGGTTCATCCATTACCTTACTAAGTTATTACTGCTGATATTTTCGCTGTCTTAACAAAAAAGGGTTCGATATTATGTTATTACGGCTAATAGCTTCACTTTCTTGCGAAAAAAGGTTCAGTTATTACGGTATTATGGCTGATATATTCGCTGTCTTGCGAAAAAGGGTTCCTCCATTACGTTACTAAGTTATTATGGCTGATATTGTTGCTCAACTTCCCTCAAATGATCATGACCTTTGTTATTACGCTATTCAAGCGTAATAGAAAAAAGAGGCGAAATGGCAAACCTATTTTGTGCATGGTATACCTTTTTAGGTTAAATTTCAGGGACTAAGATAGATTTTTCCAGCACTCAAAATTTCACCTAAAACCATTTCATTCCCAAGATTTCAAAATCAGTTGTCCCTATGGTTTACACACATTTCTCAAAATGTCTGGAAACTTTACTGCGTTGGTTAAGCAGATTTCTAGGACTTTTCAGGACCTTTAGTCCTTATCCAGGACCTTCCAGACCTATAAAACATCAAAATAACATTCCAGGACTTTTCAGGTTTTCCATGACCCATAAGAACCCTGGCCTGCTGTGGAACACAGCAAAGTTTAGCCACTGTTATCATACATGTACATGCAGGGTAAAAGAGGTGATCCACCCAAGACTTCACCCTGATAACAACAACAGGGCAGTAGAATAGAAATCCCAGAGGCATGGATGCCTCTATCACAGCTGTTTAAAACTAAGCAATACAGGTCAAGCACAATGGTTCATAAGGTGACCCATATTTGGTAGCCCTTTGCATCTGAAGAAGACCAGCAATAAACTGGCCAAATGCTGCATTTCATATCAGAAGAGACATCACTAGACAAAAGATTACACTTCATTCTAAGTTACATGGGAATACACACTGCATGAATGACCAGCAGAGTATATTGGAAGGCCTGTAAATGCTTTTAAGAATCACTTTCTTAATTCTCCAGTACTTTGTATTTCTGAATAGTTTTCCTGAACTGTTCGGTTTATAATTAAAGAGCTTTAAGTGCAAATGATCAAGAAAAGTGGCAGAAATTCAATATGCAACTAGAATATAACACTTATGTGCATAAGGTATTTGAGAATTTGAGATCTACCACTACATCACAAAAGCAGAACCACATATAAAAATATGTCTCAAAATAGCTATTGCAGATGTAGGACATACTTTCTTTCCTATGTTAGGAAGACAAAATTACATGTAACTAGTTTCTAGGAGAGATAATTTGTTTTGTAATCAATATGATTACAATAATTATAAGTATTACTTCATGTGTACTTAAAATAAATTGCTAATAAGTACTGAAGGACCAAAATGTAATAGAAAAATTTACCTGACTTAACACTTGTAGGAAGTCCTAGATATGTACTTAGAAGTCCTTCATCTTCACAATCCAGCATTAGTTTATCTTGTTTTCATTTCTTACATATGAAAACTAAGTTCTGAAGAGAATTCTTCTTTCTTGTGCACAAAAAACCCCAGTGCATATTTGACTTCAGATTAAAAAGATTTATCCATTGCACATGGAGTTGCCATACTAGTTAAACTATTGCAGGTCGACAAAAACAATTGGCCCAAAGTTCTACCAAATAGCTTGAGTCATGTTTCCTTTATCTTTTCCTTCCTTTATTATAGTTAAAAAATAACTCTACCAAAGAGCTGTCAGCAAAAGAAACACATCAAACATCACCAGTCTGCAAACTTAAAGTACAATATAGAATGAATCCACTAACCTCGCATTCTGCTATTTTCTTTATCATACATCAGCTTAACATGAACAACCTAATGAAACAAATCAAACTTTGAACATAAGACTGTACTCACAAACTGAAGGTATTTAGTTTCAAATCTAACATCAAAGATGACTTAATTTTTCAAAAGCTGTTGGAATCTTGTCTCAGTGACCAGCATATGACATGTTTTGCAGGGGAATACATGGGAGTACTTTTCTTGGTTAAGAAGAGACATTTTTTGAAAATCAATTCTTTCACACATATAATTACAGAAGGTTTCGGAGAAGGTTGTTTCTTTTAAAGTAAGATCTCGCACACTCTACAAGATAATAAACCTTTCAGTAGTATATGGATTAGTTTCATCACAAGACACTGCATGTAGCTTAACAGCCTTATGCCTACCTTTCCAATTGTTGAGAAAAACCGCCACACATCATCTTCTGTGGTGCTACTGATTAGTCCACCAACAAAAATTTTGTTATCATTATTTCCTGCATCCCTCTGAAATACATAGTCACATAAATTATAAAGATATCAATAAGAATCACCATGAAGATGATTAAATGTCACGCTGAAAAGTCACTCTCACCTACAACCAGCACCTTCAGCTTCATATTTGATGATATCTACATATTATATTACATTTTCAAAAATGTTGCAAATTGGAAAAAGGTATGTATATATAAATACATTTTTAAATCGCTGCATTTTCAAAAATGGGTGTATATACTGTTAGTATTTACTCAATGTATAAGTTGACCTTTTATGCCATAAAATCACCCTCAACTTAAACACGAGTCATACAAAAAGACCTAACTCCAAGCAATCCAAGAAATTAGAATGGCAATTGCTTGAAGTCTGTGAGGAAAACTGAGTTTGCAAAACCAGTTCTTATTGTGTTCAAGTTTCGTCAGTTTTTAGTGCATTCTTCATCAACAAAAAAGTCTGAATTATCAAATTGTAAGTGGCTTACACAATTCTACATGAGCTGATTTTTATTGTCTTGTGATCTGAAGAGCAGACATTTTTTCTTTGATGCCTCATACTTTTTCGCTATATTTTTAAACGAATTTCATTTCACAGGCATTTGGTAGCAGCACCCAACTAGTATCTGGGAGACATACATCTGTAAGTTTCAATCCTGTCAAAGCTTAATTTTTTCAGTTTTCTTTCTTGCAATTGCTTTAATTGCAGTCAACCTACCAAAATTGATTCTCTGCTTAAATCAAGTTCTTTTGGATGGGTTAGTTTTTAGTTTTAAGAGACAAAATTTTAATACATTCCGAGCTATAGACCGATTCTAAAAATTGCGGCCAGCTCTGTTCGCGTGCATGGACTGGTAACAAAAAACTTGATGTCGAGGTTAGTCAGTATTCGCTCAGGCTTTTTGTTTTAGGTCCTTTTCCTTAGGGTTAAAAACATGGATTCCACGGTTGTTTTTAAGAGATGATGATATTCCTGGGGCTTCTCTGATGGTAGAATACACTCTCAGCTTAAGATGGAGGAACTTAAATTCTGGCTTCAGTGCCGTGCAGTTTTGTGCAAGGGACTTAAAACGAAGGCACAATTCATGAAAAGGTGAGAGATCTTACTCAGCTATTTTGATATTGTTAAAATACTCTGAAATATAAATTGTATTTGCGATTCTTTGTTTTATTTAATCCCAGTTCTTAATCCACATATTCGTTTCACTCTATGGTTGAAAAATATATAAGTTCTGCCGTGACAAGAATATAGTCGATCCAGACAAAAATGAAGTCTTTAGAAAGAGAAAACAACAAATGGCAACAATACAACAAAGTGGTGTTGCGACGAATTCTCGTACTACTGCAGTAAAATATCCATTAGATGGATGGTCAATGCAACTATCAAGACTACCTATGTTTATTCAAGCTGAAATCGATGTTCACAGCTCAAAATCAGGTAAATCTTTTGATGCAAAGTCAAGTAATGCCCAGCACAGTTCCCATGTGCATGAGAAAGACAAAAACATTTCTTGATGACGAATACCTGAAAGATATCTTAGCTTCAAGTGATGATCATTATTTTTATATAAAGAGTTTGTGCCACCACAGCTACCAGAAAAATGAACCCCCACATCACTTAAGAATAGCTTTAGATTTGATAACTGGAGAGGTTAAACATTCAAACTGTTCATGTGTGGCAAGACAGGTTGGATTTTGCAATCACTCTTTGGCTTTAATGTTTAAATATGTATGATGCACGATCCTCGCAGTAGATAGCGCTATTTAAGCAATAGCGAAAATCAGACCTGAA